TTATTACTCTATATAAAATGAATACCATAAAACTATCTATTTCCCTGAGAATATACTTTTTCCCCCATCTGAGGACTACTACCTGTAAAATCAGAGCTACTCCATGGGACTACACCCTCATTAATATTCATTGGTAACTATTATTTATTTTTAACTAATCAAAATGCTTGGTGGCTGAGAGGTAGGAGAAATCTCTAGTCTGTGATGTAATGTTACTATCAATGTAACTACTGATGTAAAAACATTTCAACATGCGATGTCAAAATCAATTCTGGAATGAAGCAAAATGAGGAGCATGATAATTCTTTAAAGGGGCCTAGACACAGATTTCTCAAATTTTGTGTATAATATCATGAATTATATGTTGCTATAGCATTTCACATGGAAATATAATAAAAAACTGATTTTATCTGGAAATTATTGAAACTACGAATTTCGGGACGCGTTTGATGGACAATCCTTGCACTTTCACAAAGTAAACTTTATCCTTAATACTTAAGAAAAGTAGAAATTTTGTTGTGTATTAATGAAAAATTAAAGATATAATCCACAAAATTTAGAGTAGAAATGTGAGAAAGCAAAACCAACTCACCAGTATTGTCAGTCCGTGCTCAGTGATGTGTGCAGAGTTTAACAAATTAAACACACTCGGTAAAATGTAAATATTAACAATAACAGAGCACGTGCCCTGCTTACAAAAAAGTTTACGTTCCACCGGGTGTGTTCAATTTGTTAAACTCTGCACACATTAATGAGCATGGACTGACAATACTGAGTTGATTTTGCTTTCACTTTCCCTCGGCGTTAAGTTTCCTCCCTCAGGGAACCTTAAATTTGCTATTTCCCTCATACCCATTCCATAACTGTATACTATTTGACTCTGTCAACATTTTTTGACCTTGACCTTGACCTTGGCTTTGACTTCACTATTCTTAAATTTGTGTTTAGCTAAGTTTCAAAGAAACTATTCAAGATATTTTATCAAACTTCATATGCTTATTCACATTGATAAGAGCAATTCAACTGCATCAAGATTTTTTTACCTTGACCTTTCCTTTGACTTTGCTTAATTAAATTATTGATTATATCAATTTCAAAGAAACTATTTAAGATATTTTTTTATGTAAGCTTATGCACTGATAATTATTTGGCAAGAATTTATCAACTGTCTCCATTTTTTAGCTCACCTTGACGAAGTCAAGATGAGCTTCTGCTATACTGTCGGCGTCCCGGTTAAAGTTTTAGGAGCAAGTCCATTCCCAAGTAAATATAAGCCCTACCTGGACCAAACTTGCATGGATGACGCATCTAGGGATGGACACTACCACATTTGCTTCGGATGCTGGATCTGACCTAGATTTTCCACATGAGTGACCAGGTTAAAGTTTTTGGAGCAGGTCCATTCCCAAGTAACTATAAGCCCTACCTAGACTAAACTTTCATGGATGATGCATCTGGGGATGGACACTACCACACTTGCTTTGGATGCTGGATCTGACCTAGATTTTCCACACGAGTGACCAGGTTAAAGTTTTTGGAGCAGGTCTGTTCCCAAGTAACTATAAGCCTTATCTGGACCAAACTTGCATGGATGATGCAACTAGAGATGGACACTACCACACTTGCTTCTGATTCTGGATCTGACCTAGATTTTCCAGATGAGTGACCAGGTTAAAGTTTTTGGAGCAGGCCCATGCCCAAGTAACTATAAGCCCTACCTGGACTAAACTTGCATGATGATGCATTTAGGGATGGACACTTTCACACTTGATTCGGATGCTGGATCTGACATAGATTTTCCAGATGAGTGACCAGGTTAAAGTTTTTGGAGCAGGTCTGTTCCCAAGTAACTATAGCCCTACCTGGACCAAACTTGCATTGATGATGCATCTAGGGATGGACACTACCACACTTGCTTCGGATTCTGGATCTGACCTAGATTTTCCAGATGAGTGAGCACGTTAAAGTTTTTGGAGCAGGACCATACCCAAGCAACTATAAGCCCTACCTGGACCAAATTTCAAGTATGATGCATTTAGGGATGGACACTACCACACTTGCTTCAGATTCTGGATCTGACCTAGATTTTCCACGAGTGACCAGGTTAAAGTTTTAGGAGCAGGTCCATTCCGAAGTAACTATAAGCCCTACCTGGACCAAAGTTGCATATATAATGCATCCAGGGATGGACACTACCACACTTGCTTCGGATGCTGGATCTGACCTAGATTTTCCACATGAGTGACCAGGTTAAAGATTTTGGAGCAGGTCCATTCCCAAGTAACTATAAGTCCTTAAACCTGGACCAAATTTTCATGGATGATGCATCTAGGGATGTACAGTAACTCACCTACTTCGGATGCTGGATCCAACCTAGATTTTCCACTTGAGTGAATTTTAGCCATATTTTAACCAAATTAGCATGGATGATGTATCTAGGGATGGATTCTTCCAGACTTGCTTTGGATTCTGAATCTGACCTACATTTTCCAGATGAGTGACCAAGATAATTTTTTGGATGGCCTGTTATGGTAAACTTTGTATAGATGGTGCATCTAAGGATGAAAACTTCTAGACTTGCTTTGGATTTTGGAACTAACCAAAATTTTCTTGATAATAGTAAACAGGTTAAAAGTTTTTGAGCAGGTCCATTTCCAAGTAACTATAAGTCCTACTTAAATCAAACTTGCATGGATATAGATCTTTGGATGTAAACTAACTGGAAAAAAAATATGATGTGAAAATTGCATTACTTATAGATAACATTCGTCGAGGTGAGCTTCAAATTCTTTGATTACCTATGTTTTTTTTTATCTTGACCTTTCCAATGACCTTTGATTTTACTATTTATTGAGTAGAAAACTTAATTTGAAAGAAACTTTTCAAGGTATTTTGATCAAACTTTATACACTAATACAATACTAATGAACCTTGGGAGGGGCATTCGGGTCATATTTCTAGTCTTAAATTTGTGTTAGCTCAGTTTCAAAGATTTTTAACAAACTTCATATGCTGATACATATTGATGAGAGCTATTTAACTGCATCAACATTTTTTACCTTGACCTCTTTTTTCTTAAATTAGTGTTCGCAAAGTTTCAAAGAAAATATGCTAGATATTTATATCAAACTTCATATGCTTATGCATGTTAGAGAGTGCTATTCAACTGCATCAGAAGTGTTTTTGAATTTGACATTCCCTGTGACCTTGACTTAACTTTTCTTCAATTTGAATTTAGCTCACTTTCAAAGAAACAAGTCAATATCTATTTATCAAACTTCATTTCTGATACATTTTCAATTGGTGAGTTTTAATAAACTGCATCATTTTTTAAAACTTGAGCTTGACCTCACTTTCTTAAGTTTGCGTTTAGCTCAGTTTCAAAGAAACTATTCAAGTATTTTATCTACACACTATATTGATATATCTTGGTGAGAACTATGTGACTGTGTCTAAAATGTATGACCTTGACCTTATTTTTCTTTATTTTGCCTTTAGTTTCAATTAAACTATTAAAGATATTTTCAAACTGTTAGCTCATCTTAATAAAGTTGGGAGAGCTTATGTAATACCTTTAGTGTCCCAGGTTAAAGTTTTTGGAGCAGATTTCTTTTCAAGTACTTCAGAATCTATGCCCTGTATTGATCAGAGATGCATGGACAACACTTTTAGTATGCTTTATTGTACCAGTCCAGGTTTCAGTTGCTACATTTTCAACCCCAAAAATGACCAGTTTAATGATTTTGGCTCAGGTCAAATTTTTAGGAGCAGGTCTCATTTTTGTAAGTAACTATAAGCCCTATATTGACAAAACTTGCAGGGATGATGCATCTAAAGATGTCCACTACTAGATTGCACCTGATTCTGGATCTGACCTACATTTTCTAGATGAGCGAGACCAGGTTAGAATTTTTGGAGCAGGTTCGTTCTAAAGTAACTAATTACGCCCTATGTTGACTGCCATTGTTGCATCCTACAAGATTTGCTTCAGATGCTGGATTTAACCTATATTTTCTGCATGAGTGACCAGGTTTAAGTTTTTGGAGCAGTTTCATTCCAGAGTAACTTCAAGCCCTTTTCTAAAATGTGACATTTTCTCAATATCATTTTGAAGCCTTAGAATAGTGTTCTGGTGTCATATAGAAGAGAGAGAAAGATGGAGAAAGAATAATCATGTATTTTTTTTAAATATGTCATGTATTTATGCCAGTCTAATTCTAGACCCATTCTTACAATGTTAGCTACACCTCTCACATGCAAATTGTATCAACCTTTTGTTCAATCAAAGGCAAGTAAGTGTAAATTCTCTATATTTGGAAAGCAGTAAGGGTGAGAAACACATAGATTATTTTATAGTATCACAGTCTAAAATCATCTTAATATTAAGACTTGGTTCCATATTGACAAGATTCTTTATCAATAAGCAAATGTGAAATTATGAGGTTAAGATATAAAAGCAACTGAAAAAGATCCAAAAACCTGGTGTTAAGTGCAGTCATCCTTTCAGTTATAAATACTAATGAAAATAAAATAATGTCTGTTTAATATTTTCAAATTTGAAATTTCAAATTTGGAGACCTTAAAATTTTTAAAATAAAATATGTAAATTTTGTTATTTTTAAACTCTACACGACATAAAATCAACTTGCTATATCTGTAAAATCATTATATCAGAGTTGGTTACAACCATAAATTTTTACAAGATATTGTCGAGAATGTTGCCCGAGATAAAAAAAAAACCCTTCTCTTTATCCGTAAATTTCCTATATCCCTGTTAGAACAAAATAAGTCTTAACTGTAGCAAGTCCCAGAGTGACTTGGGTGACCAAAGGAAAAAAAAAAAATCCCAGCATCTATAATCGGTTGATCTTCCTCAAAATATAGATTTTTCATCATAAAATACACCTCCTCCTAATATTACACATGCATTCTTTTGCACCTTAATGAGATACCCAGGTATTGGTAAAGGTAACTAATACATTTTGTACCAAAAACCACACTTTAATATTTCAATCTTTTATTTATAAATTGCACAATTCCTTCATGAGGGAAAAATACTCCACCTCTAAATACAGGAAATATAAAATGGTAGAGTTGTTGCTTTTGAAATTGGTTGATTTACAGATTCCCACACATAATATACTCTTGTTTATTTTACATATATTTATGCTTTTAAGCCTTTTATGTATCAAGCACATGCATTCAATGAATGTTACATACACATTTAGCTGTATGGAAAACACTGGTAGTAATGTTACTTAACCCACATGTGCTTCTAGGTAACTATTTGTAGTTATTCAGTTTTAATACTTCAACTACAATTTCTCTACCTATATTTTTTGGAATGTGAACATATATATCAATTCTAATTCACATTACACATATAAACAACACAATTATGTCTCATTCACAACAAATCATTCTAAAGAGGAGAGCATTAACAATTGTTTAAGAACTTTAGTTTGACTTGTCTCTCTTATTTCACCAGCTAGAAACATTTCATCCACAACACTGTACACCTGCAAAACAAAAACTATGTTTAAAATAACAACCAAAAGATTTTGTAGGTTACTAACAATTTGAAAATAATTCTTGATTATTTATATCCTAAACAGAATTGAAAGTTCATTAAAAAAAAAAGATGTCAAATTTAGGTTTAAGATATCCACAGGCACTTGATGTTATATTTTTTCTTAACCTTCTACCATTAGCTAGGTTTTTTTTTTTTTTTCGTTTTGTTATATGCAAAAACATCAAGTGCCTGTGCATGCACCAGAAACATGCATCGCTTGTTATCAAGTCATTTAAAAAACCTTTATTTATATGACTGATTTCTTTTGTTTATATATTGTGATTTTTAGATGACATTCTCACCTTATAAAAATTGAAAACCAGATCCAGTTCACACACATTGTGGAAGTATTCATTGAGAACCTCTACAAAGTTATGGATGGCTTCGAGATACATAAGATTATTGTCACTGACATCCACACAGATACAGAAATACAGCCCAGCATATCGTCTGTACACAATTTTAAAATTTCGGAACTGAAATGCAAATTGAAATGAGTTATCAAGAGAAGAAAACAGAAGAAAACAAACATCACACAAAAAAGATATTATGGTATACAATTACTTTGAATTCTTATTTTTATTAATGCAATCAAAATAAGGTGTCAATTTATTTAAGTATGTATACTTTCATCATTGGAATGGTCTTCATTCTACCGGGGGTAATTTAAATTAGATCTTCTATCTGCTCACTGTTTTAGAAGTTTTATTTTTTATAACCAATAGACTGAATAGCCCTATGTTCAATGACAGTAATTATTGCTGTGATCAAATTCCAAAGGGAAGATGGCCAAAATAGAGCTGTTACTTTTTTTTTAAAATAGCCAACAGGGATTAAAATGAATCCTAATCCTTTGATTTCCAAAACTATTTTGAATTGAATTTCCTTCATTTTTTATCATCAACACAGTTCTACTTGGATCAAAGAGAAAAGTAAAAATTCTGTTGACAAAAAACTGTTTACCTCCACAAAGTTGGTATGCTTGGCATCTCTTACAGTTACAACTGCATGTACCTCTTCAATCAATTTCTGCTTTTCATCATCATCAAAATGCATATACCACTTTGCTAATCTTGTTTTCCCCGCTCGATTTTGAATCAAAATGAATCGAATCTAGAAATTAAAAGGAAAAATTAAAGTGAACCGACACGGCACAGAATACGACTATCATAAATAGATGAGTGTGCATGGAAGAAAATCATGTCAACCTTGGTACAACGATTTAAATGATTTTTCTATTCCTTAAGTTTGATATACATCTCCTACGCTATTGTTACATTTAGTACAAATGGTACATTGTATATTTCACAACTGGCTGTATGTGTGTGTGTGGCCTAACTAAGATGCATTAACTGACCAGGTTTAGATGAATCTTGGTCTAAACGTTATTCAATTATGAATCAGACAGAGTTGTGCCATTCTTGTCCAAATCACCTTAATTAAAGTTCACAGTGACTTTAATGTAGGCCAAGACACATCCTCTACCTAATATGCATTAACTTGCCAAGTTTGATGATTCTAGGTCCAATAGTTTTACAGTTATGAGCTAGACATGGTTTTACCATATTTGGCCATATCATCTTAATTAAAGGTCACAGTGACCTATTTTTGATGTGGGTGAAATTTGACCTGGTAAGATATTGCACAAATACAACTGTGTTTTAACACTGCAAGACACAGATAAGTGAAAAGCAAAAATAAAATTCACTTTCCATTACCTTACTTCAGTGTATCGGTGTATGGACAGAAATAATTGTAAAATTTCTCAAGAAATGAACTGTATTAACTCTTACAGTGAATGTGAAAGTTATGTTTTTTTTATTTTTTTTTTTTACTTGCATAGTGAATGTGAAAGTTTTTTATTTACCTACATAGGACATTTGGTTCTATTGCTCAATGATTTTCATAGGACTGAACAAATTTCTGTCTGACCGAAAATGTTCCAACACCACATTAAATGAATACATGGTATGATCCTAGTCTTAGTATCAGAGCTAATTTTTTAACAACACATTGAGGATTTATGCTGTACTCCATGCCGTATTCAAGTTTTTGGTGTGCTTAAGAGTTCCAAAGACCAAGATTACTCAAAACAGTTAAAACCCTTTATAGGACATAAGTTTGGTTTGATCTAGAAAGAAACTGGAAGGAGTTTTAATTTGCTGGCCAGGTCTGACCACCTGATGTATTTTGAATTCACTGCTATTTAATACTGATGAAATCAATTCCATGATATGGCTCTGTGCAATCAATAACAATTTCATTTTAAATATCACAGTCACAATAAAAATGAAATTTCTAGAGATAATGACTAACTTTGTCCTGCTAAGCATATTCTACCACATATCCATATTTCTGTATTATTACTTACGACTTATTACTTTAACAATAGAACTTGGTGGACAGTCATTTGGCCAGTTCTGAATTTTGACCAGTTCCGAATAGTTATGTGATTTAAGAGCTGATAATTGATAAATCTAAAAATGTAAAAATAAATTGAAATATGACATGATGATGAAGGCTTATATTAATATTCATTTGATTTTTGCAATGTTTAGATTTTTTCGTCAATTTTTGTTTGATATTGATCTTAAATTAGTCAACCTACTTCTAAACTGTAGCAATTCTGGATCACTGCAACACAAGTGTGTGCAGAAAATCATCTGTCAACACTTTGTTTTTAACTTGAAACAAGTTCTAGGGCTGTCACGAGTACCCGAAATAACCGAGAACCGCGGTCCAAGTTGTTTGGTTCAGTTCCGGTTCCATTTTTCTGGATTTCGGTTCGGGTCTGGTTTATATATTAGAGTCTGTTCAATGCAAAAAATGGCGTCGAAATCAAAGGAATGATGACGATAACAGTGATAATTAACATCACAACTGAAATTTAGTTCATTCCATGACAAAACACTTGTCACGGAAGTGTTAGATAATTATCAAAACGAGCAGGAATGGTCAGGTTGTGACTAATAGTAGGCCAAGTCACCGATGTGTAGACGTTCGCATGGTTAAGACTTGTTTTCAATGTAAATTTAATGTAGCAAATAAAGATTTTTCAAGTTAAATTCATGAAATTAAGGTTTAAAATAGATGTAAATACCCGACCCGAAAAACCCGAAACCGAACCGAAAATTTACAGACCCGACCCGACCCGAAAAATTTTGGAACCGTGACACACAGGCACTTGTTTCTGTAATAAATTTTTTAACCCATAGTATAATAATAACACAAGGTATCCAACTCCGAATTACACGGAGTACCCCCCTCCCTCAGAATCGCACTCATTTACAATTTCAGAGGACATGCACTGGCAAATTGTTTATACCTATGTCTTCTACGATAATTTATCTACACAACCATATATGGCATGCTTGTCTTTATTTTCTTTAGTCTCCGTAAACAGCGTCAAAACTCTGCTCGCCGTGTGGAAAAGTCGAATTCAACCATGAAATGGTATGTGCTAATCCCGCACAGAGAACAAAATTAAAAAATGAGTGGGTTTAAAAATTCAATTCCAGTGTTTAAATATTGCATGAGTAAATAGAACTTGTCTACGTCTGATTTTCCCTGAAAACATAACGATGTTTATCCAATGTAATTTTAGAAACAGATTTTTAGCCAATCAAAATCTCTGTGCGGAACTAGCACATACCATTTCATGGTTGAATTCGACTTTTCCACACGGCGAGCAGAGTTTTGACGCTGTTTACGGAGACTAAAGAAAAAAAAGACAAGCATGCCATATATGGTTGTGTAGATAAATTATCGTAGAAGACATAGGTATAAACAGTTTGCCAGTGCATGTCCTGTGAAATTGTAAATGAGTGCGATTCTGAGGGAGGGGGGTACTCCGTGTAATTCGGAGTTGGATACCTTGTGTTATTATTATACTATGGGTTAAAAAATTTATTACAGAAACAAGTGCCTGTGCCGTGACAGCCCTAGAAACAACATATCAGCAATCAAAAGCAAGCATATGTAAAACCAAAAAAAGATTGCAGAAAATGGAAAAATAGATCATTAAAATATAGATAGACTCCTTATCAGACATTTTTCATGCTGTCATTTTACCAGTTCTAAATCTCAATGATAAACGTTATGATTTTTTTTTTTCTGTTCTTCTTGTCAACTCTACTGGGTCAAGCACAATCTCGATTTAGCTAGGTAGCTTGAATTAGCTATATAGCTTGATTTAGCTATTCAAAACAGTTTGATTCAGCTATTTCATCATATATTTTTTGTTAAATGTGCATTTTTTTCAGCATGTAAAAAATAAAAACTTTATGCAATGATGATTTTCAACTTGGTATTTTTCTGAAAACTGCATGAAAATTGTTTATCTAGAGCATCTCCTTCATAGCCTTTGCACTCAAAGTTCTAAAAGTTTTAGGGTTATATTTAAAGCAACTGATTTGTGACCACATAGTTACTTCTTGAAAGAAATTACAAAGCAGTTCAATGAAATAAATTGGTAATAGTGAGCGCAGCGAGCTCAATAGACTATCGTGTAAGAACAGAGGAAATTTGGAGTGACATATACGTCAGACAAATTTTAGTGTGAAACCTTCCCAGAATTCCCTCACTACCAGAATTCCATGCGATAATGGAGATAAAAATAATATAAAATGTAAAAGCCTGCAGTTTGCCAAGAGCTTAAAATAAAAAAAAATAATTGCATTTACTCTACAACGTATTTTGTTAAAAATTGCACTGGACCTGTAGTCTCGTTCAACCAGACACTTGACTGTCTCCATAAATTCTGACGTCATATGACATCACAGTCTAGATTGTGTCTCGTGCGGTTTGGAAGTTTGAAGAGGCGGATCAAAGTTTACAAGTGTAATTTGATGGTACAACAGCGCTCGCCCCAACGGTCACACCGTAAAAAATATTAATTCAGTACAATGTGAAGTAATCGGTTATATCCATGTCTCACAGAATACAAGGTGGTATACATTTACCCGAACAATGGAAATATATCTATTGCTTAAAAGTGTTTAAAAGCAGCAATATTTATACATTTTTTTTAATTTGGATTGCTTTTTCAATAGCCCACAGTACAAATATGAGCAGGTCCAGCACAATCTCTTGATTTAGCTATTTAGCTTGATTTAGCTATATAGCTTTATTAAGCTATTCAGAATAGCGTGTCATTTTCTCAGCATGCACAGAAAGTCGCACCTTGGTGCAGTGATAATATTCAACCTTGAACTCTTCTGAAAATAATGCATGTAAAAATCACTCATCAAATTGCGTCTCCTTTAGAGACTTTGTACTTAAAGTTCTTAAAGTTTTGGGGCTATATAAAGCAATTGATACAGTTACTTCTTCATTGAAATTATAAAAGAGGCCAATTGTGGTCAACAAGATAATTGATTGGTAATAATTCAGTACAATGAGAAGCAATCATACTTATCCATGCCTCAACGAACACAAGGTAGTGTACAGTTACTCAAACAATGGAAATTCATCTTTTGCTTAAAAGTATTCAAATCCTGCAATGTTAGAACTATCTTTGATTTTAGTTGTTGTTTTGATAGCCCACAGTACATATATGAATAGTCAAATACTTGCAACTTTTTGTCTATTTCTTACAAAAAACATTTTTCTGAAAAACTGCACATAAATAGCTTTATCAAGCTATTTTGAATAGCTTAGTAAAGCTATATAGCTTTTTCAAGCTATATAGCTAAATCGAGAGATTGTACTGGACCCACAGGGGCTTGCTCCCGGCGTGTAATAATTATTTATTAAAAAAATCATATACGTTAATACTAAAACAACACAAGGGAGGACGCCATTTTGGACCCCTTCCTCGCTTCCAACCTCTGTTATCGTTATACTTTCCCGTATTTTACTGACTAACCGCCTCGGATCTGTCAAGTAATGATTCTTCTAGGACATAATGCTTAAATTTTCCCCTTGGAGCCTCTACAATACACATTTTAGACTAATAATAATCCGAACTCGCTCTTTAGGACAGTTGATAGGGACAGAAAACGAAAGTAACCTCGGTGTTTTACATTCGAATACGGAATTAGAACGCGGTTTTTTTCAAATTTATAATTAGCAGCTGTGTTAACTAGTAGAAAAACTCCGAGATTTTCGAATGTGCAAGTCCCTGTGCTGGACCTGATGAGTAGTCACATTTTTGCAACTTTTTGTCTATTTCATATTTCAAAAATAATGTCAAAAAATGAATTTAAATAGCTTTATCAACCTATTTTGAATACCTTTATAATAAAGCTATTTCAAGATATATAGCAAAATCAAGAGATCTGTCTACATGAAAGATGATATTCGCAGATATATGGACTACTTTGCCAATCAAGTTAGGTTTCAGAATAATTCCTGTGTATATTTACAGCACCATCGAATCGGTACCTAATTCAGGACTGGTCAAATGACTGATTTTCATGAAATATTACCATCTTTTTAGTGAATCTCTGTGTTTTTCTTTAAACCGGAAAACGCCTACTCTAAATTGCGCATGCGTACAAGAATAGATAAGTCAAACATAATTTTCTCGTACATTCCATTACACGAATAAAAGTTTTTTATTGTTGCACTACGAGTCCTACCAAGATCTACGCTGTATATAAACTGAAGTTAAAGAAAATATAATTTTTGCATTCGAATAACCTTGATAAAATAGATAAATAAACATTCAAATATTTTTGACTGTTTGGTTTTTTTTCTTTTAGGTGATCCTTATCTTGGTTAATTCAGCGTTTGAAGTGGAGAGCCTTGATAAGAAGGAACTAAGTTTGTATTTTACATTGACTAAAATTTTGTGATTAAAAAAAACGTGCGTAAAGGAAATTTTTTTTGAAGATGGATATTGTAGAAGACACCAGAACACGAGTTACTCTGAATGAGCATGGAGTCGATAATGTAATTTTATTTAATTTGCTACTGAATTAGTCTGTGCCAAACTGTCCATTAGTCCATAATATCTATTTATTTTTTTTTCTCTCTAAAATTGAACGTATGTCATTACAGTCAAATTACTTATATGTTACTGTCAGACGCTGAAACTGTTATGGTAAGTGCAGTAAGATAGCACATTTGTTGCATCAGTTTACAACCCTGATTATTCGACCTCGCGTAGATTCCTACCGAGCCTTCTACCGTGAAAATTTATTGCACTAAATTTGTTATCTCAATTTCTTTTCACATTGATTAATTAAGTAATTATATATTATAATATGTTTTTCGGTGTGACCGTTGGGGCGCAGTTGTACCATCAAAAACCCAGGCTATATACACAGCTTACACTTGTAACGTTGATCCACCTCTTCAAGCTTCAAACCGCACGAGACAAAGTCTAGACTGTGACGTCACATGATGTCGGAATTTACGGAGACAGCCAAACGTTTGGTTGAACGAGACTACAGTTCTTGTGCAAAATTAAATGAAATACATTGTAGAGTAGATGCAGTTGTGTTTTGTTTCTTTTAAGCTCTCTGCAAAGAAATAAATGTAAAGGTATCTCTTGGTAAGGAACAATTATCCTTGGTCTTTTGTATGTTTTGTAATAATTTCGCATGGAACCCTGGTAGCATATAAATATGTCCGACAGTGAAACCGTAAGGGTGAGCGCATTTCATTTTTGTACAACTCTACACACCTTCTCAAATGTCATTTTACATTCTGCTTATGACGTTACACTTTTCAGTAAACTCCTTTGGCGTGCATTTACTGCATATCGTACATGAAAGTTCATCTTTTTAAAAACGATATTGACTCTTGAAATATGGTACATATTGTTGCAGACTCCCAATGCATCGGGATCGAGATTCCTAACTTCTTGAATTTTTCCGACAAAATCGGAAATATCCAAACTGTTGAAGTGACGAAAATATGACGTCAGTAACAAAGTCATGTTTACTGAGGACACAAACGATAGTTTTGTGGCATGGAAATTGTATTAAATCGTTGTTTGTATTTTTTCCCAAGTATTTTTTCCCAAGTAAGTTGTTGCTGTGCTTAAGTCACCATGTTGCTATGCACCGAAAAGGATTATAGGGAGTTTGGAATTTTTTCACGTGGACCAATAAAAATTTCTTTGAACAACGTTCAGATTTCAACCCGAATTTCCTCCATTCATACCTGTTGTCTATGGAGCTCGCTATGTGAGCGGCGCTTCGCTGCACTCGCTATTATATATATTTAGTTCTTTCATCTCATAATTATATGAAGTCCGGAGAATGCAAACAAAGTACCGGTAATAATGATTAATGAAATACTAAAGAAGTGTATTATTCAATCATGTAATTTATTTACAATAAATTTTTCTCATGGTTTTTCCTTTTCCAAATTTTCAAAGAATCTTCAAAATTTAAGTTTCATGTATCATATGTTTTTCCTGGATTTTCATTAATTGATCTAGCCAATTTATCATACCAAAGTGACGGGTTAAATGTTTATGCTATGTACAAGTCACACACTCTGATGTCTTCATGTCTCTTTCTATATGATCATCTCCATTTTTTCTGTCTCATCAGCATCATTCTTATTCTTAATTTGAAAAGAGTTTGCTGTCCAATAAATACTGTAGAAGCACAAATTTTCGTGGGGATAAAATTTCGTTCATTTGTCATCTAGAAGGGTTTCGTGGGCATTTAATTTCGTTGTTTCGAAAGTAACCCTATTCAATATATAGTCAAATAAAAATTTCATGTGGGATTTATTTTTGTTGATAATTGTTAACAATGAAATAAACGAAATTTAATCCCCCACGAATATTTCTGCTTTTACAGTAAACAAGGAGTTTAATCTTTGGCGGCATTTGCTTGGCCACTACCCAGTGTTTATATTAGTAGGGAAAGCATATAAGCAGCCAGAAGAGATCTGGAGATCAAGGTTTAATTCATGACTGTCATTGGCTGATGAAATCTGCGGTTGCAGAATGTAGTAAAGTGAATTAATCAGAACGTGACTGGCCATTACATACAGAATTTAATCAGCCATTATGTCTGCTCAGTGTTAAACTTAAAGGTCATTTTAGCTTTAATTTAATTTTATTTTAAATTTTTATCCACAAATGGCCAATGGACGATGGCAATCTGAAACCCTGCTAAGCTACAGAAACAGTGAATTAAACATACATCTATTTATACTTTGAATGTGCTTCACAACATGTTTGTTGAATATAACAATATTGTAGGTTTAGTTTGCTTGTGTCTAGAAGGCATGTATGTTACAACCCTGCACCAAGGTCATTTGGACAAGGACACTTGGTGTGAAGTGGAAAGTTCTTGTTCATAACATAATTAGGTCATCTGAGCCAAAAGGCTTTTTTTTAATTGAAATTTTTCAGAACTGTTGTCTGTTATTGTTGTTGTTGTCATAAACATTTCACAATTTCAGTTGTTGGGAACATTTCTTAATTTCATCTTCATCTCCAGAACCATGAGGCCAATTTCAACCAAACTTGCCTCAAAGTATCCTTGTCTGATGGGGATTCAGTTTTGTTCAAATGAAGGGCCACACACCTTAAGAAATAGTAAAAATTTGTTGGGGTCCTTTAAAAATGTTTTCAAGAACCACTGGTCCATACAAGATGAAACATTGGAAGCTTTTTTTATAGTGTAGAATCAAATTTGTTCAAATCATGCCCCTGGGGGTAGGGTGGGGCCACAAAAACACGAAAAGGTTCAAAGTTTTACATGGGAATATATAGGAAAATGATTTAAAAACTTCTTCCCAAGAACATGAGGACCATGATAAGTAGTACCAATCGGATCACCTCGCCCTTTTCCGTCGCTCGCTTTCTAGCGTGTGATGGAAAAGGGCGAGGTGATCCGATTCAAGTAGTACATATATTAAAATTTATCTCAGTTAGTGCAGATTCGAGAAGTCTTTTTAAATTATGCCCCAGGTTAAGAGTTGGATCACAATAGGGGATCAAAGTTTTACATGGAAATACATAGGGAAAAATGAGTTTGTTCAAATCAATCCTACTCCCTTTGGGGGAGGAGGGGGGGAACATATAGGGGAAGAAAATAAACATGGAAATATAAAAGAAAAAACATTTTAAAATTTTCTTTTAAAGAACAGCAGAACAATGATTATTGATTAGTAATATTAAGATGCAATCATCTCTGGTAAGGCAGATTCAAGTTTGTTCAAATCATGTCCCCTAGCTTCCATGAAAGGGGGATTAAGGGGGCAAAATTGGGGGATTAAAGTTTTACGTGGGAAAATATAATTCAAGGAAAAATGTTTTAAAATCTTCTTTAGATCAACATGGCCATGATTTGTGATATTTTTATACAATCCTTCACAGGTACTGCAGATTCAGTTTTGTTCAACTTATAAAGATCAATCAATCCTACTTGATCATGAGATATGCCATGAGACTAAAACAAAAATTGTTTGTTTGGAATTGCCTCCTGCCTCATTGAAATGCCCTCTCCTGGAAATATTTTACTGACCAAAAATAGGAAGATTTTTTTTATTCAATCAATTCTTGGCTGTTATCACATGTGCCAACCAAGTGTTGGATCTATGAAAACTGGGTTCTTTGTTCATGGGAGATACATGTACCTTTACAAAAAGTCAGAAAATAGTGTGTTCACTGCTTATTGATATTTTTATCAACAGTATTTAATTTACCTTCAATTTTGAAAAAAAAAAAAAAAGTTTCTTCCCTCCCTCCTGGGTCTGAAACCCCTCAGATGGCAATTCTGAACAAACATTTTTTTCAGGATGGCCTGACCCTAAACAAAAGTCCTTTAGTTAAAGTCGCCAAGTTTAGAAGTGTGAAATTCTGAAGTCTCAGAAATGTAAAATTCTAAGACAATTTTTTATTGGAGGAGCATCAGGAGATAATACTTGACACAAAGGTTTCTTGTGACAAAGAGGTATGTCATGATTCTGTGCCTAGTTTGTCTGTAAGAGGTCAAGCTCATATGACTTAATAACGTGGTAAATGTTCTTAGGGTTATAATGTTTTAATGCTTGGACTTTTGGATGGTCATATTTTTCATACTCAACACAAAGGTTGGTCATGATCAAAGGTGTTACAACCATCAACCATTTCAACAAGATTCAGGTCATATTTTTTGTAAGAAAGCAGAGTTCTTTTGAAAGCTATTTTAAAGAAAACCCTTTTTGTAGTTGCCCCACATGGGTATTAGTCCTATTAGGACAGTTCTAGTTTGTTGTCTGTAAGTGAGAAATATTTTTCACAAATTTTGATTTTTATTGTATATAATCTTCAATAATACAAATATATGTGATAATGAAATTCTCGCTAGCAGACTCCTGCATAATTACATGAAGAGAAAGTTTTCCCAAATAACATGATTTACAGTAACTTGAAGGTTTTATTCTTGGCCTAATTGAGTTTGAAACAATGAGGTTTGACTGTAGTAATGAATTAATATTTTACCATGCTTATTGAATTTTATCAACAAGCCCAAAAAGTTTAGTAGGCCTGTGGTATGGCAAAGTGATATGTATGATTGGAAGAAGCATGATTGTGAAATTTTTCTGTGGCTTGATTTTTGTTTGAGATCTGAGTTTGGGTGGGGTTAAGTTGATTTTTAGATCAAATTTTTATACCAGGTTTTGCTCAAGTGGTATATTGTCACCTGGATGGTCAGTTTGCATGTGTTTCTCAAACTTGTCTTATTAAAAGCCCATTAAAATGGTTAGCTGGTTGATTACCCTTCATTATACCCTAATGATATATTTTTCTAATTTCCCTAGTTTTCATGATTTATATTTTTTTCTTTCTTGGGTTTCCTGTGATGTATTTTCTTTTTTTCCCAGGTTCATAGTACAGATTTCCCAGGAGAATATCCAAACTTCGATGATTCTTGGAGTTTGAAAAAGTTTAAGAAGGTAAAATGTTCTGGATCCACAATGCAGTTAAATATTTGGGCACAAAGAGGTACATGTGTATTGAGATAGTATTGTACACAGTAATGAAGATTTTAAGGTTTTGCCAATGGATCCTGGCACTTGGAACAAAGAACAGAGTATGTTTATAGCTATCTTAATATATATTTAGCAAATTCACAATGAAGTCATTTTTTCATCCCAAACTAAAATGTGAAATTATTTACTAGTTATATACAAACTGTACATAGAACAATTAGTACAACTATATTTGGCTCTAAGCCATTTTAGTGTTATTCATAAACAGAATCTGATTTAAGAACCAACAGTAATATGACAAAAATAAATTGCTTTACTTGTTGAAATTACCAGCTGGGTTTCATAGCTCATTTGTTGTATTACAAAAATATCTTCATTTACATTTTATCAATTTCAGAATTTCCGAATAGACATGATCAAAATGAATGTTGATGAAATGGAATTTGACATGGTGGGAATTGATGCTGCAATAGCTAATGCATTCCGCAGGATTCTACTTGCAGAGGTATGTTAGGATAAATATTTTATTATAGGTATTAATTTATGCTTTCTTTGTAGAGAATGAAAGATAAAAGTCAGTGTCTCATTAAATATTCATCTTCCAGGTAATTTTCTTTGTTTGCCAGTAAATTTTTAATCATTCTGTATTTGTTTAATGCTATCAGATATTCTATTATTAATTTGTAAAACCATTTGTGTCCTTATAATTTGTTGATAAGGTATGCATTTCCATCTTTTTGACAATTTCAGGTCCCCACAATGGCTATTGAGAAAGTACACATTTACAACAACACATCAATCATACAAGATGAAGTACTCGCTCACAGACTCGGGCTCATCCCCATTAAGGCTGACCCCAGGCTGTTTGAGTACAAAACAGAGGGCAAGTTATAGAAATCAGAAATACTTATTTTTTTCCCATTACCATATTTCTCTGTACTGTTAGCATTTGAAGTATATTGTTCTAGAGGAATAAGATAAATGTCTTTTAAAAACTAAGAGACATTATTATACAGTCTCTAAATTCACTTTATAGTGCATGTCTCTTTTCTAAGATGTACTTTGCACCTAGTAAGAAATTTTTGATGAATGACAATCCTATTTTCTCTGTTATGAGAAATGACAGAAATAAATGGAAGTTTGAGCAAAATGTAGAATGTCGTCTACAGTGTGTGCTGGTGTCATATTCTTCATATTAGACACACACCCACTTCTTTCCTCTGATATTTTTGGCTGATTAATATGTCATGAGTTATGCAACATTGCTTCCATTGTGTCATCACCATGGGAGGCCATTAAATAAGAAATATGTATTTACCACCAAGAATGAAATAAAAAAAAATGTTTCCTTAGGTGAAGAAGCTTCTCCAGAAGACACCATCATATTTCAACTCAAAGTAAAATGTACCAAAAATTCCCAAGCCAAGGATACAACAGACCCTGATGAACTTTATAAAGACCATAAAGGTGAGAGATCAGGTCAAAGTTCAAGAAGGTTAATTTTCTTATGAATGATAAGATTAAAACAAAAGTAAAAAAAAAAATAAGATTTGTAGAAAAAAATCTGTTTTATGACACAAAATTCCATCAAATTGAATTAAATGTGAGTAATAAAGAGAGATTTGAGAGTCTTTCAATTTGGCACTGTTGACTGATAAGGAATGGATTGGGGAAAAAAATGTATTACATTTATCATCAGTGTTTTAAATGTACACATGTATTTATGTTGAAACGGTGTGCATTTATAAAATGTACTACATGTGTAATTTAATGATATGGTAAAAGAATAAAAATAATAAATAAATTTAAAGCACTTTTTTGGATTTGATATGGTTTAGATATATAATTACTGGGAGGAAAACTTTTGAAATTTTAAAAGTTCTTAATTCATTTTTTTCTCAGTTACAACCAAGCATTTAAAATGGATAGCCATGAAAGGACAAGACTCAATAGTGAGTATATACAGCCATAAATATTATCATAAAGCTTTCTTAATGACTGATGTTGTGTCACCTGAGTAACTCTAATGACCTACTTGCTATTCCCTTCCTTTACTACCCAGTACTTTTAAAAGAACAATAGAATTAAGATGAACCAAACAAGCATAAGAGTATCTTTGGATATTTAAGGTCAATTTATTAGAGTGACGTGTGTTCTAAGAAATTAAATTTTCTTACATGAAATTACCTTCATACTTTTAATGGTCAGGTAATCTTGTAAATAATAAATAAATAAAATGAGAAAAAAAACTTATTTCTGTACATTACCGGTAAATGCTCTTCAAGGACCAAGAGGGCTTATGTGGGAGGGAATGTCTGTGCTTTGTTTAGTCTGCATGGTGATAGTGACAAATGGGGACAAGTACAGGCAAGTGAATAGATCTATTTGTGATTCGTTACTGAGTAATAGACTAACTATTTAGTTGATACTTTATCATTGTATTGCTCTTAGGCAACATATCTTCATCTTTCAGTTTAATTTGTTTTATTTTATACATCTATGGATCCTTTACAGTGTTGTAGTAATATACCCAGGTGACCATTAAGGCCACTGGGCCTCCTGTTTCTTTATTTTCAACTCACTTCAACAAAGTTGAGATGAGCTTAGGCTGAATACTAGTACCCCTGACATCAGTGTTAGTGTTCTGTTAAAGTTTTTGGAGCAAGCCCTTTCCCTAGTAACTATAAGCCCTACCTGGACAAACTTTCAGGGATGATGTATCTAGGGATATACACCACTAGACTTCAGATGCTGGAACTGACCTAGATTTTCCAGTTGAGTGACCAGGTTAAAGGTTTTGGACCAAGTCCTTTACCAAGAAGCTAATAGCCCCATCTTGACCAAACTTGCATGGACTATGGAACTGTCCTACATTTTCTAGTTGAGTAACCAAGTAAAAATTTTTGAAGCAAGTCCATTCCCAAGTAACTATAAGTCCTACCTGGACCAAACATGCTATCAGACTTGGTTCAGACACTGGATCTGACCTACAATTTCTTAATGAGTGACAAAGTGTAGGTTATTGAAGCAAGTCCATTCCCCATTAACTGTAAGCCCTATGTTGACCAAACATACATGCATGGTGCACCTAAGGATGTTACAACCAGACCTGCTCAGATGCTGGATCTTAACTACATTTTGTGGATGATTGTGAAAAGTAGAAGTTTTGCAAGTCCAAAAAACTATAAGTACTACCCAGATCAAACCTGCATCATGTTACATCCAGGTATGCACACTTACAGAACATTCATTAGGTGTGAGACCTTTGTCTTACTTCTAGATAATATTTGTCCAGATTAGCTTTATAATTTTTGATTTCCTATATTTTATTTATAGATACTGGTATGATACTTTCTACATAAGGTTCTGTTTTAAATAAATAATCGGTTTTTAGAAAATTTTGAAGAAAAAAAAATTCTTAGTAAAGATGTTTCTTTGATTTATGGAATCCTTACACATTTTCCTTGATTTGCCTGTTAATATTTTTTTTTTGTTTTTGCTATTTATGCAGTGGAATCCTTAAGGATCATTTTGTTTGTATTTTTTCTTTCAGTTTAAAGAGGGAGATTTAAGACCAGTTAATGATGATATTCTGATTGCCAAATTAAGACCAGGGCAGGTAAAAGATGGCACACAGAAATTATTTGTAAAGTACAAAATGAAAAAGACTGTTCACTAAGAGGATAGATTGATTAGTTTTCTAATTTTAGGAACAGGAGTTACAAATTGTTCTTTTCATTTCTGCTTCAAACACATGTGAGCACAAATGCAACATTCTGGATTGATGTTATTATTTTGTTAAAGTCATGTTAAAAAAATTCTTCTGAAAACCATAAAAATTTCATTAATATAATTGGGTATTATAGGAAAAATTTTGAGTTTTAAAATCCAGATCCTGTTGGTAGCACATCATCTCCCAGAATTAGACTGAATTCACAAATTATTGTGCACTTCATAAGTTTTACTAAAACAGTATCTGAAAAAAATGTGCATGCAAGTGTAACTGAATCCCCCAATAGTAAATAATGTAGTAATGGGACAACATCTCTAGAGAGTCTGATTGGTTTCTATTTATTTTCCTTTACAGGAAATAGACTTAAGAGTGTACTGTAATAAAGGAATTGGAAAAGACCATGCTAAATTTTCTCCTGTCGGTAAGATTGATTCTGTTTTACATCTAGATGTAAGGGTTCTATATCCTTGTTTTGAATATTAAGGCATATTGAACAACTTTAACCTTTGATATAACTTGAAAACAATGTAAGATGAATCACCTGTATTTTATCAGTCAACAATGGATACTGGGGAGGGGGATAATATGTTTCAGCATTTCTAGTCCTCTACCAAGTTTCCTTTGATACAGTGAGGCATAATCCACAAAATACCTTATTATTATGATACTGACAAAAGCAGATGAACAATATGAATGAATTTTACACAAATATTTCAGTTTTAATAAATAACATTTACATAGACCCGTTGATTTCTTCAGTGTATGGGTGTACATTCAATAAATAACATGTATATAGACCCGTTGATTTCTTCAGTGTATGGGTGTACATTCAATAAATAACATGTATATAGACCCGTTGATTTCTTCAGTGTATGGGTGTACATTCAATAAGTAACATGTATATAGACCCGTTGATTTCTTCAGTGTATGGGTGTACATTCAATAAATAACATGTATATAGACCCGTTGATTTCTTCAGTGTATGGGTGTACATTCAATAATTAACATGTATATAGACCCATTGATTTCTTCAGTGTATGGGTGTACATTCAATAAATAACATGTATACCATAAATCTGGAAATTTTTACGTCGATTTATTTTTACGAATTTGGGTCAAAAAGCCGTTGATTAATTTTTACGTTTCAAAATTTTGCGAATTGTCATTGGTGCTTAAATTAAAAAGCGCTAAAAATTTTCATAACAGTTTATAAGTACACATGTACATGTACATACAATAAATCACGCATGTACATGCAATATTAAATGATGCCAAAGTTCAATAATAAGATTATAAATTACGCATGCACATACAATAAATTACACATCTACATACAATATTAAATGATGCCAACGTTCAATAATCAGATAAAAATATTAGAAGAGATAATACATCTAAACTGTTTAAAGTTTTCTTACATTTTATTAAATCAAATTTTGTTAACAATCTGTTGTAAACGGGCTTCTTTAAATGACCACTGTTTACGAACTCTTGTTCAACGGGTTAAAAATAGAAACCAGCTGTCAGCAAAATTTTTGTTTACATTTTTTGTTACTGATTTTTTTTTAAGAAAAATATTTTTGTGAATGCACTGCACGCGCAAATTTGCTATAAATTTATCTACAGTAAAAATTTCCAGATTTACGGTATAGAGCCGTTGATTTCTGCAGTGTATCGGTGTACATTTAATAAATAACATGTATATAGACCCGTTGATTTCTTCAGTGTATGGGTGTACATTCAATAAATAACATGTATATAGACCTGTTGATTCTTCAGTGTATGGATGTACATTCAATAAATAACATGTATATAGACCCGTTGATTTCTTCAGTGTATGGGTGTACATTCAATAGTAACATGTATATAGACCCGTTGATTTCTTCAGTGTATGGGTGTACATTCAATAAGTAACATGTATATAGACCCGTTGATTTCTTCAGTGTATGGGTGTACATTCAATAAGTAACATGTATATAGACCCGTTGATTTCTTCATTGTATGGGTGTACATTCAATAAATAACATGTATATAGACCCGTTGATTTCTTCAGTGTATGGGTGTAGATGTAAAGCATTTCCTACTTGATCTCCATAGCTACAGCCTCCTACAGATTGTTACCCGAGATCAATTTGAAAACACAGATCACAGGGGCCTTGGCAGAAAAACTACAGAGTTGTTTCTCACCTGGTGTCATCACTATAGATAAAATCAATGGTAAGGTCACTTAGATGTGGTAAATTCACATGGATAAAGTCAGTGTTAAGTTCACATGGATAAAGTCAGAGCTGAGTTCACATAGATAAAGTACTTAGTTTACATTCATGAAGTCAGATCAGTTCACGTAGATAAAATTAGTGATCTTTTCACAAGAATCAAGTCAGTCCTAAGTTCACATTGATTAAATCAGTGGTAAGTTCACAAAGATAAAGTAAGTGGTCAGTTCAAATAGATAAAATCGGTGACAAGTTCATCTGGGTAAATAAGTGGTCAGTTCACATTGATAAAGTCAGTGATAAATTCATCTGGATAAAGTGAGCGGTCAGTTCACATGAATAAAAAGTCAGTGGTAAGTTTACTTAGATAAAGTCAGTTGTAAGTTCACATAAGTCAGTGATAGTTCTTATTGATTAAGTCATTATATATATAAGAACTACATGTATGTATATAAGAACTATCACTGACTTATGTTCACCTGGATAAAGTAAATGGCCAGTTCATACGTATGTAGTCAGTGGTAAGGTCACATAGATGAAGTCAGTGGCAACTTACAAAGATAAAGTCTGTGGTATTTCACAAAGATTGACTTTATCTATATAAAGTCAATGGTATGTTCACATTAAGTCATTTGTAAGTTCACATTAAGTCAGTTAAGTTCACATAAAGTCAGTTGTAAGTTCACATAAATAAAGTCAGTTGTAAGTTCACAAAGATAAAGTCAGTGGTAAGTTCACATAAATAAAGTCATTTGTAAGTTCACATAGATAATGATAAGATTAAGACACACATAATGTCAAATTGAATAAATTCACACAAGTCACTGGTAAGTAAAGATAATTAAAGTGGTAAGTAAACATAGCCAGTAGTAAGCTCACATGGATAAAGTCAATCTGATAAGTTCAGAAAGGTAAATACTAGGGATGGCAATCGAATACAGAATTGCCAATCGGTTAACCGCAAGACGTTCCAACTTATTAGTCGGTTAATCATATAAAAAATTCTCGACATAGCTACACTCCAATAAGTAAGACTATAAAGATGTTCATGTAGTAATATTATGCTTATATTTATATATGATCAGAATACTACATATATTGTATTTCAATTTTAATGGGCAAAAAAAAAAAAAAAAAAAAAAAAAAAAAAAAAGGAAAAGCAGAAAAGAGAAAAAAATTTAAGAAACCCATGAAACATCCTGAATTATCACTTAAATCTAACGATGTTTGTTTTAGAATATAATTTGATAGGTACATGTAACTGCAAAGGATAGAAGAGGTTGTGTACACATTATAATCAATTCAATTCTATTTATTCTCATATTGTGTAAAACAACATAGAGAAAATACAACAATATAAAACGAAATACTTGATGCAAAAGTGTACAGTATACATTAGCCTGGTAGGGTAACAGAAGTCGATGATCATTGAATTAAAATCATTAAAGAAACATGGGACAGGGTGGGTAACGACATGTGTTTAAGCAGCAATTAACGACTCGAAAAGTGACCAATTACCCCCACACCATGTCAATCTGGAGAGCCTTAATTATCTCTGAATCAGCTTAAATAGATAGGTGAACATGCTAACATTTCAGAAAATTTTTTTGTATTTTTTAGATTGAATTTTCAGGAAATTGTATTCAAATTTACACATAAATTAATTTTTTTCCAACTAACCGATTTCAGATTTTCTAACCGATTACCATCGTTCCGACCGAGTAATCAGTTAACTGATTACAAATTGCCATTCCTAGTAAATACATAGATAAGCTCTGACACAAAAACAAAGTCAGTAATTTTACACAGAAGACAATTATATAAACTCATATAAGTTTGTAAGCATAAATAAGTCACTCATGTAAGTTCAAGTGCTGAAAAATTGACATTGATAAAATCAGTGACAAACTCAAATAAAACCATCGCTAAGTTTGCATAGATAATGCTGAGCTCAAAGCAATAATAAGTCAATTATATAAGCTCATGAAGTTAATGATAAAGTCAAGTAGAAGAAGTCAGTATTAGGGTCAGTCCATGCAGGATTAAGTTAATGCAGATTAATCAGATTGACATAATCCACAATATTTAAACCAAATCATATCCATGCTATAATTCTTATTGAGGGATAACTATACTATATATGACATTACTGTGAAACAATGTCATCGCAATTCCTTTTGGATTTATTTCACCCATACTAAACATGCTTGTGTGATAACTTAACTATACTAAAGATATAACATTACTTTGAAATAATGACACCACAATCCATTCTAGATTTAGTTCAACCCAACATGGTTGTGTTGTAACTTAGCTATACTATACAGTTGAATTTCATTATCACAAACACTGATTTCTCTAATACAACCCAACATGGTTGTGTTGTAACTTAACTTTACTATACAGTTGGATTTAATTATCACAAACACTGATATCTCTAATACATGGGACATGTTGAAATAATTTTGGCAGTCCTAGCTATTTCATTTTTAGCCTCATTATCTCGAATTTTTGGATATCTTTAATTTAATCTTGGTCCCATCAAGTTTGAGATAATGAGGTTTGACTATATATGATATTACTATGAAATGATGACATCACAGTCAATTCTAGTTCACCTATAACATGGTTGTGTGGTAACTCAACACAGTGTAGATGTGATGTGGATTAACCCACATTTACCTAAATTAATCTAGATTGACTTCCTGGTGTGAACCAGCTTAGAAGCTCACACACATAAATTTAACAGTTCATGTAGTAAATGGTACATTCACTGTGTCATTGTCATTTTAAAATGTGTTTGAAAAGAAAACTCTTGTTCCAATGGAACATTTTTAAACTATTTTTGTCTTTTTCATGAAACTAATGGACATTTAGTAAGACAGTTGTGGTAAATTGATTCTCAGAAATTCCTTGAGTAATACATTTAACTCCTGAACTTGGATAATAATCAGTATATCTATGAACACAGACCTTTAAGAATCATCATTTGTCCATGTTCTGATATTTAATCTTTATAGGAGAAAAGGTAGCCAGAGTGGAAAATCCACGAAAAGACACATGTAGTCGAGAAGTGTTTCGTCATGATGATCTTAAAGACTTAGTGGAACTGAAGAAAATCAGGGATCATTTTATTTGTGAGCTTCAAAATCTTTGGTTACTTCTATTAAGTCTTATTAAATTATATGCTCCTAAACCTTCAAATCTTTTGTGTACTAACAGATTTTATATATGGTATTTATGCAGTAAACTTTTTATAATAACATTTTAAATTTAGCAGAAATTCTGACTAAGTTTGAAACAAACAGAAGTAAACACTATGTTCATAAGGTGTCTTGTACTAATGTGCATCACCCTATGGCCAGGAAATTTGGTGTAATAACAGTATTTTATTACTTTTTCAGTTTCCGTGGAATCCACAGGGATACTGGCACCAGACATTCTATTAGAGGAAGCAGTCAAAGTACTGATGAAAAAGTGTCAAGATTTTTTGTCAGAATTGGATACGTAGTAAAAGTGTTATGTTTCACTAATCTTGTTTTCATTATTTGTTTCTATTAATGAATTTTCCATTGTAAAGTCTAATAGTATGGATGACTTCTTACCTTTTACATGTTTGTACTTGTATTTGAATGGATCTAAGATTTAAAGTCTCTCTAATTAATGGATTGAAATGAAAGTTATGTTATGTGAGGGACATGAACTGTTCTCTCTCTATATTCCATTCCATATACATGTACAAATATCTTCATTTTTAGGATGGGAAACTTACTGGCAATGATATAAATATTAAACCTTACTAATGGCCCTTGGAAACCAGGCAAGGTTGAACTTGGATATATTAAATGAGTCTCAGTTGTAACAATATAAAAATTAACATCCAAACATCTTGTTATACCCACATGAAAGAAAACAAGCAAATTCAAAGAGTTGTGGTCCCCTGCTTTTGGTGTCTTACTGGATGGGAGATGCCATTATTTATAGCATATATTGTAACTGTCTGTGCATCATTCAAAAAAGAAATAAATTATTGAATTAATAACAGTTATGGCAAAGGTTATAGCTTCTCAAAACTGCATCAAACTTCAAGTTTAAGGTCATGAGGTCAAATATGATACAATCTGAAAGGTCTTGTCACAAGCAATGCACAAGTGAAAAAAAAATATTCAAAAACCAGAGTATACAATCAGAAAGGTCTTGAAACAGGTAATGCACATGTCAAATGTAAATGCCATATCTTCTCTCAACCAGAAGATATGAGCAATGTTAAAATTTTTGAAAATTAGGTCAAACTTCAAGGTCAAGGTCATGGGGTTAAAAATCATAGTACATTTGGAAATGCTTGTTGCAGGTAATGCACGTGTCAAATATGAATGCCTTATCTTTGCTCCTTTAAAAGTTGCAACTCTGATAAAATGTTTGAAAATTAAACCAAATTTGAAGGTCAAGGCCATGGGGTCAAATATAGCACATTCGGAAACATTTTGACACAATAATGTACTTGTCAAATATGAATGCCCTATCAAATGTCATTCAAAAGTAATCACCAAAGTTAACATTTTTGAAAATTAGTACAAACATGAAGGTCAAGGGGTTAAATCATAGCATGTTTGGAAATATCTTGTCACAAGTAATGCACCTGTCAAATATGAAAGCCCTATCATTTTTTCAATTAAAAGTTGTAAGCAGAGAACAAATTTTTTGAAAAGTAGGTCAAACTTCAAGGTCAAGGTCATGGGGTTAAAAATCATAGTACATTTGGATGTGCTTGTCACAGGTAGTGCACGTGTCAAATATGAATGCCTTATCTTCGCTCCTTTTAAAGTTGCAACTCCAATAAAATGTTTGAAAATTAAGTCAAATTTGAAGGTCAAGGTCATGGGGTCAAATATAGCATATTCGGAAACATTTTGACACAGTATTGTACTTGTCAAGTATGAATGCCATATCATATATTATTCAAAAGTAATCACCAAAGTTAACATTTTTGAAAATTAGTACAAACATGAAGGTCAAGGTCAAGGGGTTAAAATCATAGCATGTTTGAAAACATGTTGTCACGGGTAATGCACCTGTCAAATATGAAGGCCCTACCTTTTCTCAATTAAAAGTTATAAGCAAAAATAAAATTTTTGAAAAGTTGGTCAAACTTCAAGGTCAAGGTCACAGGATCAAAAACCATTGTATATTTGGAAAGGTCTTGTCACAGGTAATGCACATGTTATATATGAAAGCCCTATCTCTTCTCAATCAAAAGTTCTGAGCAAAGATAAATTTTTGAAAACTAGGTCAAACATGAAGGTCAAGGTCACAGGTCAAAATTTTAATATATTTGAAAATATCTTGTAATAGGTAATATACATGTATAATAAGAAAGCCCTATCTCTTCTCATTCAAAAGTTATGACCAATTTAAAGTAATATAAATTTTTTGAAAAGTAGGTCAAACTTCAAGATCAAGGTGTCAAAAATCATGGTATATTTGGTAAGGTCTTGTCACAGGTAATGTACATGTGAAATATGAAAGCCCTACCTCTTCTCATTCAAAAGTTATGACCAAAGTTAAAGTTTTTGTGACAGACAGACTGATAGATGAACGAGATTTAATATCCCCTCACTTTCGTGAAAGCGGGGGACAATATTGTCTTTAACAAGTTACATATAAAATTTGATCAGTGTAAATCATTGTTGTACCAAGAAATTTAATGTTAAATATCATCATCTGTGGTCATACGTCATTGATTCCTAAAATAACTTTTATAATTCATAAATTAAGTAGTTGAGAATAAAAAACCCAGAATTTACCACAATTTTCTCAGATTTACTATTTTCCCACATGTTTCTGAAGTATATATTCAAAAAATAAAAAATAATCTGTCCTTGGAAGGATACAGAATGTTATCCTAAAAGCTTGTTAACTTGTACAATAATACTGGTAGACATTGTGTAGCTCCAGAGTAAGAAGTGAATCAGAAGGGGGGATTTATTGTCTTGCTTTTTTTATGGCTAATTTATTGCTAATGGCTTACTCTTTTTTGTGATATAGTAACGGAAGTGTGTACAAATAGCAGCACCACAGTAATGAGAATCTCCAAGACACTTGCTGTTCTGTGATTTTATTGTCCATTCAGTGTGGTCTTTTATGGCTCTAATTGTTATCTCCTTTAATTATTTAGTAGGACATTTTATTGCTTAACAGTATATATGTTAATGGAAATAAGTTTACTCCCAAAAGTATTCAGCACAGCATCATTCACCCTTGGATAGAAAAATTCACAAATTTTCCCTCTCTTCTCATTTGAATTTTCCATTCAAATTTGTGTAATGTGTAAAATAATTATTTGTGGATCATATTACCACTATAGATAATATTACTGGCCCACCATGATCCCTTGGGTAGTTTGCACAAGTTAGTTATATTTCCCTGAGGTTCTCTCTTTTTTTTTAAGTGCATACAAAGGTCAAGGTCATCATGGATATATTATTGTATGTAATCTTACATGTTAAGAGCCATTCTCTGTAATGACTTGAACTTTTATATAGGAGCTGTGGCACGCGTAGTCTCAGAATTTCTCCAAACACTCTATGATAAAAGTCTTTGATACCTTAAACTCAAATCAGGCAACATTTTGTTGCTACGTGTCATGGTTACCATAGCAACGTGTCCTAAAGTTTGAAAAATGGCATTTTTCAACATGTTCAGAGTCCCATAGTTAACGTTTGCAGTGAAGCAAACAAGTGGCAATGACTGTTTCTTAAAGTTGAAGGCCTTATGTCTTAAATGCATGTTAAACATGTTTGGTAAATTAACTATTACATACGTTACTATGGAAACAAAGTATTCAAAAGTAATAATTTTGTTCATTTAATTTTATGAAGTCATACACTTAAGAATAAAAAACAATTATAGGTTGAAATACAAGCAAATAATAGACAAAAGATCCTTGTAACATACACCAAGGGCGAAATATGATATTTCTTATAGGTTGGGAACAGTTGCCATGGTTTTAATACCACAAAGGGATTTAAAATCTCTCTTAGTGTTTTAATCTTTTCCTATCTTTTTAAAAAACATATTTCTATATAAGTAATGATCAGTTTTTAAAGGCGTTGGTGTGACCCTAATTTTCACATTTCAAAAAGTTCAAATTATTTTTTTTAAATAGAGCGTTGCTATGGAAATTAGCCGGAAAAATATGAATAAAAATCTTAAAAATGTTCTGTTTCCTTGGATACGTACCCTTGTATGTAGATTCCCAAAACTTTTATGATTGATATTTATGAACAACTAACCCGACTTTCAAGTTTGACTACCACCCAATCTCTAACTGGATGCAAAAAGCTAGCACATAGGGTTAAATATTGATATAAAGTTACCAAAATCGAACATTTTCCCTTCTTGGTAACCATAGCAACAGTGTTGTAATTTTCATCAAACTTAATCAATATATGATATTCAACTTTAGTTTTACCAGATAGGTACTATTCAAGGTGAGTTAAATAATATGTTTCTTGATTAAAGGGTAAATTCCTAAAGCTGCAAAAAATATCACTTTAAACAACTGGTATGTTGTTTCCATGGTTACACTGCAAAGTAACAATTAATCCCAATTTTTCTTATGGCGTCGGTGTTGCATGGTCCTAAGGATGTATATGTACCAGTCATGATTTTTATTCTTTTTCTTTAAGATAGCTAAGCATTAACCCATTCTTAGCAACAGATTTTGCATGGTTACACTGTGTTACCATGGCAACCATGAAATTTATTTTTAAAATAATATTGCCAATACCTAATTACTTAAGGTCAAATATTTTTATTGTTTTTCTTATGTTGTTGATTGAGTTTGATCATGTAACACCTATCATTAGTGAATATTGAGAGTTTTTCAGCATTTTTCAGCATCTAAAATGTATTCCAAATGTACCCATGGTTACCATTTACTTAGAGATAGATTCTAAATAATTTCTTTATAGCATAAGTGGCAACAAGGTGTCATGTTTTTGAGAGAATTGTTTGTTTGTTTTTCTTAGTCTTTATTAAGGCTTAATAAAGATTCAAAGTAGCTGAAAATCTCAATTTTTCAAACTTTTCTGGCTGTTACCATGGCAACCAAGACACATAGCAACGAAATTTTATTTGAAATATGTTTTTGGTGTCAAGTACTAATAATTGGCAAAGTTTCATCAAAATCGGTGACTATGCGTGGCAAAGAAGTTTAAGTGGTTATAGAGAATGGCTATTAACTTTCTATAAACTTTATTACTCGGCTGGGTACAGATATACAATTTTTTCTGTTGAATTGTACAACCAAATATATATGTTTTAATTCAGGATAAGTTTTGGTTTTTTGGAAAATTTTAACTTCACCAGAGATGTCTTTTTCTGTTATCACAAGACAGTAACATAAAGTTGGGCATTGGAATACAGTTTTTGCAATTAAAATTCATCAAAATAAGTTGCTTTCAATTTATTTTGATCTATCTCAAACTCTGAGATAGATCAAAATAAATTGTTTTAAATATTATCTATCAAATGTATTTACAAAAAGACCGGATAAAAAAATTCCAGAAAACTAGTATTGAATTGGAAGCTTGTTTTAAAAAAAGTTGACTTAGTCTCTCTCGTTAAGGACTTCTTCAGTAGCAGATTTATAAAGGGTGTGTACCCCCTCCCCAACACTTTTTTTTTAATTTTGCATAATAGTATTTAGTACAATCACAATCACACAAGTAAATATTCGGTAAGACATCGTTTGTATTTGTCAAATATATAAATTGGGGGAAAATACATTTTTTTTTATTATTTCATATCCTAGAAGCAACGTTTGGTATTTGATTCCCAGACTGAACACTACAAGTTTTGTGCTCACAGATGATACTTTTATAATAGAATGCACAATTTTGTTTCTTTTCAATATTTTTTTTTTTAAATCTGTAAAAATCAAGACTGGATGGCTTTGGTTCCTATTATGCGGTCTCTGCTCTGTTCTAAAGAAATTTAGTTTAAAATGAAAAATTTACCATCCTTCTTGGGTTAACGCATCTGAAAGACCCGCCCATATTACTGATCATTATCCAATAGGAAAAGTGCATTCATTGTAAACAAAAACGCACATGGTGAAAAGGTGCGTACTCCCTCAAGAATCTCCATTGATAAGTATATCTAGCTGAAGATAAAGAGGAGAATACCTAATATATTCTTTAGATCTTTCTTGTTCAGATTCATTTAAAGGTACCGGAGATTGTATGGCTTGTGATCGGAGTGACTTAATCCTCGTCTCTATCTTTGTCAACAAAAGCGCGCGCCGATCCCCGGTTTGTCTTGCCTGACCCTGCCTCCTGGCGGAGTGATATATTCCACGGCTTATTCTCACCCTCAGCAATAATCGTCAACACGAGAAGAAAGGATAATCAATAGCGGTAAATTTCACGGTACATCGTGTTTTATTTTACTGATTGTATTTCAGCAACTTTGATGAGTTGTGAAATGTAAATGAACAGATTGTGACGAAAAAAGAAAGCGTGAAAATTAATTTCAAGGTTTCCAATGCACTGACAGGATTTTACCATTTTATCAGAATGGATGGGAGAACTTGGTGGACAATTGTATTTTGCTCGTTTAACATCGGTAAGTGAAATTCGACAAAATTAAAATCGATGGATGGTTATAAGTGATTAAGTTCTAGGCCCTTTAAAATGCTGAGAACTAATAAGTCAATTTGAAGAACTGTACAAATATTTCAGTTAATCTGTTTAGTGATAAAGAATTATATATTGTATAAATGAAAAAAACAATTTTTTTTTTTAAATTATTATTGAATTACTTATCTGTGCACATTATACAATCGTTTCAGTGACTGTTTCTTCTTTAAAAAAAAATTCCAACAAGGATGTTTAACTTTGGAGCAGGTGTACATATTATATAGGATGTTACCCCCCTTTCCTATCTGAAAAAACAAAATGTCATTTATAACCTACAGAGCTATTGCCATTTCTCCAGCAACAATTATCTCAATCTCTTAACAGTCAGAACAGCTCGCATCAAAATTAACCTCCAGTGGCCAAGTCTGAAGCAACCTATAACACCTTATTGTGCCATTTTGAAGAATATTGCACATCTGATGCCACTTGGTTTTAAATTAACAACAATAAAAAATCAGATTTCACCAATTACACATGAAAATGGGGGTATAATCCTGTACTGCTGGATTATCAAAAATACTAGACTTCCTGAAGTCTTTTAATTATAAAACTTAAAGACCATTTATGGTCCAGATTAGACAAGGGGTGTCATTTGCTATCAGTTGTTACAAGGTGTCATATTTGTGTAATCATTCTGATAATGGCTAGACTTACATGCTTGTGTGCATGTTGATATGTAAAGCTGCCCAGGGTGCAAATTGCCTAGGTTATATAGGAATGATCACCGCTTTTTATGGCCTTTTCTTACTCTACAGTAGTGTTTTTCTGTTAGGTATAATCGCCAAATATTCCTGATGCTTCTTGAATTAACAATTAAAATGCATGAATTATGCAGAATGTAATTTTTATTACACATGCCAGTATGCCATAAAAATCCATTTATCACCCATTAGGTGGTCACATTGACCCCAGTGTGTCTGTATACACACAAACACTGAAAACTGCAGAGCAATTAGTCAGAATTGATGGAACTGGCTGGAGGTTACATGCTTCTTGCTGTTTTTTATGAGAGTTTCCACTGAGATAAGGGGGATATTTTTCTGCCCCCCTCATCCCACTGTGATTCATGCTATTTTTGAAGGTTTCAGATAAAACCATTGTTTTCCAGCCCCAGGCAGCAGATTCTGTTCAGGAAGACAGTGCAAGCATCTTAGGAGTAAGCTCTGTATAAGATCAGAGCAGGGATGTGTAACACCCCTCGTAAAACAGACACCCTATCTCCTACCTAATGACTATTTATATACATTCTGATAACCCTCATATAACTCAATTCTAAATCAGATCTAATTTAAAAAAATATTTGCCTTGTGTCATCCTATTTAAGCAAATATGTCAATTTAGTACCATCACAAAGAGGCTTTTTCCACTGATGTTTTAACATGTGAAGAACAATCTATTATTACATACATAGGTTGATTCATAGTAAACAAAATAGTAATATCCTCAGGAAAACCAAGGAGTTGTTTATGATTTAGAATTTGAGTTCCCAGGTGTCATTATTTGCACCCGATAAGATATAACAAAGGTGGGTAGGTGTCGGAGACAGATGACTGTTGGTTCAGGGTATATCCCGAGGGCTGACTGCTCTGTGGCGCGTGTCCTAGCCAATTCAATACAATCAAACACGGTAAAGTCAGTTAATGATCAAGATTCCAGGCAGAAAGAGCTTGGCAAAACAATGTAATGGGTAATTGAACTGAAATAGTCTGATAGCTTTGTGTTTTATGTCCCAGTTTTACTAAAATGTTTTCTTTCATTTCACCAGTGATTTATAGCTGATATCACGGATTTAATGACATTTTTAAAGTACAACTACTTCCCCTATAAAAAGTGAATTTAATATTTTTTTTAATCATTCGGTTGAGTTTTTGTGGAAGTTTCAAAGTTTTTCCCTAAACAGCTTATAGTTTACTTACTCTACTGACGAACATAGGATGCTTTATACATGTTTAATTTACATTAAGTTTGCATTTATAATGACGATTTTATGGAATGGTATTATGCATATTAAATATGAGTGTTTTGAAATGGTAAATAAAGCCATTAATGAGATTTCAGACACCTAAAAAGACATTCAGCTGTAGCAGAAGATTAATGAGGTTTGAAATACAAAGTTAACAACAAATGAATTTCAGTCTACATTTAGTGTATGCAACCAAGTTGAAGAAAGAAAGTTTTTTTTATGATTTAGATAATAAAAAAATTAAAATTTCATTATTTACCGACCTCAGTAACTTATTATTTTTTTTTATTGGGGGGGGGGGGGGGACAAAACACAATGGATAAAAAGAATAGAAACTAGTACTATATGTAACTGGATTGAACCATTACATATTTTTCCCAAATGCCTCCCCTACTCCCTTGTGGTGCCCCATTTCTTACTATCTTTGATAAATTAGGCAATAATTTCATATGATAACATTTGTTTTATTTTATACTAAAGTACATTTTTTGGATCACAACATAAATACAGTCATATGAGTATTAGCCATGCAGATTTCTGTGCAGTTGAATGCTCTTGTTTTAATATCATCTATTATCATCTCATAGTAAAGGACTACATATTAAAATTAAAAGAATTTCATTGAAAACTTTAAATGCTACAGCAGTCAAAAAATATTAAGCAATAAGAATTCAACAGATGCATGCATGTGCATGTGTTTATTTCTGATGGTACCATAATGCATATTATTTGCCTATATAAATTCTGAATTTTGTTTCTTTTTTCTCTGAAATCTCAAAAAAAAAAAAAAAACCCAAAAACATTTAAAACTATATAGCCATTCAGATTTCAGCATGCATACATGCACTATGTATGTTTTCTAGATCTCTCACATGTACCCTTTTTACAGTGTTTCATAATACATCTGTGTTGAGTTTTAAGGTCAAGATCTAGTAAATGAAGAGTGCCTACAGATTTCTCAAATTTGAGAAACGGATTCCTTTAATAATCTTTTACAATTATAGCTTAATAAATTAAGGTGTATCGGGACATAATTTTTAGATAAACTCAATGAAAAAAACATATTTTAAACTGCCCTTTTCAATGAAAAATGAAGAAAATCAGGTGTAAGAATGAGAGTTTTCTCATCTCAGACATAGGAAATGTATCTATATTGCCTACAGACTCTCAGAAAACAGTTATTCATATCTTCTTGACCTCTACTTTAAAATAATATTAAATTGAATATAGGTTTCGAGGTTCCTTTTAACATGGTTTCAAATTGAATTCCGTGAAATGCGTCATTTTCTACATAATTCTGTTATAGCCGTAAAGTACGGGAAAAATTAAGTTTAAATCAATTATGATGTCATAATGGATATAGTACCAAAACACAGTCTAAACTCATTTACTAGATCTTGACCTTAAACTATATTTTATAGTTAAGAAATAAAGTTAGGATCATTAAAGTATTAGCCAATCACTTATCAGAATTCAGCATAAGAGTATGCATGTCCTTACATTATGTTTTAATAGTATCATAATGTAGGAAAATATTGTACTTATATATATATATATATATATAACTTATATATATATATATATATTTCTAAATTTTGTCATATTTTGTTGAATAGTAAGAAAATTATGGTCACTTAAAGTTTTAGCCAATAAATTTGCAGAGCATGTGAATGCACATTTTTTTTTCAAAAAACTTGGTATATGTCATGTTATAGAACCTCATATGTACATATATTTTAAATTTCATATTATTTTGTCCAAAAAATAAGAAAAGGATTGAGATTTTTGTCCCAGCCAATCAGAACAAAGCACACTTGCATGTAGATGTGTTCATGCTAATTCAACAATGTCATTTTGTCTTGACTATGTATATTTGTTTATGTACTGAGTTTCAAAGTATTTCATATAAAATATGACAGTTGAAGCTTTTTGAATTATATCAGTCATTTTATTTGACACACATGCATGCATGTGCATGCAAAATGACCTTCATTCTGCACATATACACAACATGTCTACTAACCCTAAAATGGTTTCACCTCAATCTGATGAGTAGCTTCCGAGACCACTCTTGGACAAAAAAGTATCGGAGAAGAAATAAGAAACAAAGTAAAAACAATATGTTTTAATCCCAAACTTCGTTTGGTGAACATAAATAGCCAACTAAGCCAAGATATTCTAAAATAGGAGGAATGATACTATAAAAACTGAATAAATATTGAATCAAGTAAGAACAAAATTTGTTTTGTCTGTAATAAATGCAGGCTAAAACTGATAATTTGTTTCCTGAGTCTCTAAAATTTATCACCTAACCTTTCAGGATCTTCATAAATCACCTTAATTAATCGAGCTTGTACTTTTAGAAAGGAATTTAAAAATATGTCTGACACAGTGTTAATCTTTTTGCCCTGTGAGAGATGATGGCCTTTTTTTTTTGAAGGGATGTTTAACAGAATAAGATGAGAGAAGGATATCCCTGGTTTTAGATCCCCCTCATAATTCACTACAACAAGTCTGCTTGGGGGATCCTCTTTCCCTATTACACCCATCTCAGCAGATAAACTTCTCTCAAGTCTCCAGAATTCCAATCTTTTTTCCCAAAGTATATGAGAGCTAAGTTTTTTAAACAAAATGTGCTTTCATTATTTGCCGCTTCTGTAAAATACAGTGATCAATAGTCCAATAAAAAATTAGACTTGGAGTTTTAGGATAAAATAAGTCTTCAGAAATTGAAGTGATTGTTGTAACTGATCCCGACTTCAAGCTCTGCTGACAAATTGCTGCAGCTGCACATAGCGCTGGAAGCCAAAAAACACGGAGCAGCATTTACAAAACATACTAAATCTGCCCTCAAATTTCATTCAAAGAAAATGGAGAATATAATTGAAGTAGCATACAAGAAAATCTTAAGTACAAGTTGTTTTGTAAAAACATATTCTTTATACTGGTAATCTTTAATCTATTTTCATTTGTAGTTTGGTCCCAGGACACATTTTACTTCAGTTCCAAACCCGAGGACATGGATGTCATTGAAGGTTCCGAGGTGTTACTAAGATGTGACGTCTCCAACCGCTATCATATCGTATTTAGTTGGACCCACAACAGGAAGCCTTTAGTCCCCACCAGTAGGCGGTTCCAAGAGGGGAGCCACTTACACATCCTCAGAGTCACAAGGGAATTGGATTCCGGCACCTTTGCTTGTATTGCCACAAACAAGACATCTGGACATTCCCTAGTTAGTGAAGCTTCCCTCAACATACAATGTGAGTCCTGACAATTTATTAAAAGAATGTCAAATAAATGGCTTCCTGGCTTGTATCATTGTGTAGTGTATAAAAGCTGAAGACTATATAATGCAAAATATTCAAAATTTATATCTGAATTTTGTGACTGTGGAAGGTTTGATTTATAGCATTGGTTCCAAAAAAGTCACACGAAGCCATTTTCAAAAATGTTTTAAAGTGTATTATCAATTAATGTTCATATAAGACAAATTTTGCTTTCATGATTTAGAATTCTGTCTTGCTACTGAGCAACAGGTGTCAGAAAGTTTTATATATTTGTTTATACAATAAGTGTTGATAATAGAATACAAACTTAACAATTTACTGTCATAATAGCTTATCACAGAATCTCAGATAAGCTTGCAGTGGATAGAGTTTATGGAAGTTTACCATGTGTATAATGTTCAAATGGGAGATATCATCTTGACTCTGTTTTAGAGGGGTATAAAAATGTGAATGTGAAGAGTAAAGCTATCATTGGAAATATAAAATCCCATCAAATCAGCCAATGATCTAGACGGTGAAGTTTACCAAATCTTCTGTGGATTACTAGTATAACCAGTGGGTAGAATTTTTTTTTCTACGTTCAGATCATTGCTGTAATAAAGGCCTGATAAAGTTGGCCATTACACAGACCAAATGTTGGTGATGGCTGCAAGATAAAATAGACATGGAGAGGAAGTCAGTATTGTTCCAGTGTGAGGGGTTTTTTTTTTGCAGTTTAATGTCACTGCTTTTTACAAAGAAAAAAAATGTGAAAGACAAGTGAAAGACTGCATAATATTGATGTAACCTTTGACAAAAAAAGTGGCTTTATTTGTTGAAATAACATGCAGTCAGGCATTGTAGACTGAAACAATCTGACAGGTTTTACACTGGTCAGTCTGAGCTTCAAACGAATTATCACAGAAAATATTATTACATCTGATTAACCTTGAACTGACACTTCTTTCCTGAATTAGACATGAACACTTTGTTCTTGCCAAATAAAAACAACAATGGAAGGGCCAGTTGACTTGTCTATTTAGGAATTAACTGACAAAAGTTGGGCCTACTTCCCTTAGTCATTTAAAAACTTTTGTCACCTTATATTGAATACCTTGAAATAGGCTTGAATCCTTTTTTTATTATCAACAAAATGGACAAACTAGATCTATGAAGTGTACATCCAAACTGAATGATGGGAGAGGACTGAAGCTGGCTAATGCTGCATACATAATGCCTTCAAATGTAGAAATAATGATTTAAAACTTGTTTGAAATGTGATTTCAGACAGCTGTGTGCAGACTTTCAGAGGTATAAGTAATGTGCATTATCCTTTACATTGCTAATATTGAGATAAGCTAGTATTAATTGTGCAGTTGGGCAGCCATTCTGAGAATTAATGGTGGTGATCTTGGGTGGCCTTTTTCTTGTTTATCCAATGAAGCATTTGGCATTATGCTGGAGGAGACATCAGCCATGATAAATGGGAACCCTAGTCTTTTGACTGAGGACTTGGTGCTTGTAATAGAGGCATTTCAATGATCCAGGTGAAACAAGATTGCCGATGTAAGGACCTGGTTTCATTTCCATGTCCTTTGTTTGGTCTTTCTGCCTCTCTTTGTCCCATTTTTACCAACCACCCAAGTAACAATATTTCCTATTTTCTTGTTTTGAACCAAGTCTGCAAGGGGAGATAATTAAAACAGATTTGATTCCTCCTGTTAGAATGCCAAAGAAGTGTTACTTGTGTTATCTTGATTTTCATGTTACTTTTGTCAGAAATTGGTCTGTGGGGTTTGAAATGGCATTTAATCTTTATATATATTTATATCTTTTTATTATGTGAAAATTGACTTCAGATTTGAAAAAAAAATGGTAATTTTAAAATAGGACCATGAAATGTTTTAATTCTGGCTTTATAAATTTTCCATTGATAAACATCTTTGAAAATCCTGTTTCTGTAATTTTATGAATGACATTTTTCCCACTCATGTGTTGAAATTACATGCTGCAATAGCTAGATTTAATCTGCTGTGAAATTTTGATTGACAGCTTTTGTGTACTTGCCATCACTATCTTTTATTTAAGCATATAATAAAAGCTGTTTTCCCAAATTACCCAAATATAACCTGGTTGTGTCATTCTAAAAAATAAGATCATTTTGTTGCTGTGAACTTTGCCTCTCATATTTCAAAATGGCTGTCTTGAGATGTCTTATTGACATGAGTTTTTTTCTTTTCTTATTTTTTACTGGCAGCTTTATGCTGTATCATATAAGGGCCGATTTTCCTAGTGGTCCTAATTTGAATTGACAGCTATCAGGAATTTCTATGGCTGACTTCTTTTCTGGTTCAGTGAATAGTAATAATGGTTTATCAAGGTGGTAAAGATGAAAATCCTTACATAATTAGGTAGAGGGAATAATAGAAATGCTGTTATTACAATTCAATGAGAAATTGTGAGGTTCATCTCATGTGGTCCTTCATTGACACACATGGCATTCACTGATGGGAGAGAGATTTTACATAGTGCCCTTATTATCAGCAGTGGGAACTTATACATTTTAATGTATGTGACAGACCTTTCGTAATATTTTATTATACTTTAAGTCATAGAAATTAAGTGTACTTGGTATTGTTCACATTGTTCAGCTTCCAATAACTTTTATGAAATACATTTTAAAGGGAACTATTTTCTTAGCAAAGTTTTATTGCTTTCAGTATAAAGACTTTTTGTAGAAAATCTCAAATACGGATTCCAGTGTCTTACAAAGATTAAGAAGGGAAGGTTTGGGGATTCTCCAGGGTTGATGGCAGGCTTGTATATAGATTCTTTTCTCACTGAGAAGAAAAAACTTTCCATGAGAGAATAAAGTAATTGTAGGATTAGCACATTTTCCTTGCCTTGTGTTTCAGCATGCTTAGTGCATGTGTTCATTCATCCCAAAATTTTCTTAAAGTGTACAGTAAACAAAATTTGGAACAAAGTTTTGCAAGTTCCAAAGAAGGATTAAAATTTATTTAAATTTCAAGTGACTGTGACTTCTTTGATGTTTACAGTGAGAGAAAATTCAACTTGGACAGTGAAGAATGTTAGGGAAAAGCCATGAGCAATAGATGAACAAAATTTTCATTTTAACTTATAATCATTTTAATCTTTGCATTGTGTTGTACCCAACATTATAAATAGCAAATATGCATCACCACTTAATGTGTAGTTTTCTCTCCATTAATTGATCATAGTAAATGTGATTCTAACGAGATTATAATCCCTATCCAATAATACCAATAATAGAAATTGATGATAAACTTATTTGTTGTGTGTGTGAGAGCTCAACAAGAACACATATATTTGATCAGCATTTTTTTTTCCAATTTTCTTTCATCATTTTCTCCGTCTGTGATTTACAGCTGTTAATTTCATTCAACTTGAGCAGTTTGTAAGTTGAAGTCTCCTTTCTGAGAGTTTTTTAGCAAGACATCAAAGTGATATCTTTGCCTATATCTTGCTAAACAACTTGATGGATATCCAATCTCACACAGAAATATTTACTCTTCAAATTTTTTTTTCCCCCACAAAGGACAGATTTGATAATATGAATTGAATAATGGTGAATTTTATGACATTTTAGGCTTGTCCTTTTTTTGGATAGCTTCTGTGCCTGTGATTAAGTTAATGCCTGAAGAACAATAGCAGAGATTGGTGCCATATAAATCAGGAATATCAGTCCAATTTCTGTCAATATCCGATGTCAGCTTTGTCACTTGTGTTCCTGATAGCTCTGTCAATAGGAACCTTAGATGATGACTTAACGTTCCTGATAAGCAGCTCAATTATAACTGTTCAAGGGCAAGCAGTTCTTATGTTGAAAATAAAGGGAGTTTCAAAATAAAGTGAATGACTTCTAGATCCCACTGAATTCTGATGATTTTTATCAACAGCTTCAACACAATTCAGGAATTGAGTAATTAAAGGTCAAATTTATATGTTCCTGTGATGAAAATTTGATCCTGGGTCATTTAAATGTTTTCTAGAGGTAACATTAACAATGAGACCATAGTTTGTTAATGACTTAATTCATGTGATGAAGAAAAAGTGATCATTCATTAATTATACATGTACATGGCCATTTGTGGTTGTGAGCATGCTAAATTTAAATCCCCTGAGTACTGTCACCGTGATTAAAAATATCCCAAAACAATCTGTAAGGCACCAAGAGAGCAGTTATAGACTACAAGCAGCAAATAAAAAAGGGTGAACAAATAATAAACCTAGGTTATCTTCATAAAACGAAAGTCATTAACAGTTAAGCTGTTGGATATTAGAGTTGTAATCATATCAGAAACTTAATTATTCAGCCCATTGAATGATACTGGTATTTTGAAGCATTGCAAAACAGAGAGTATAAGTAGAAAGGGTGCAATAGGATTGGAAAAGGAGAGTGTTTGATTGGGATGTTTTCCTCAGAATGGTAATGTGATGACCATTGGTGAGAATTGATCAGTCTGGTAATACAAGATGCCCTTTTCTTCACTTTGTTCTTACCCTATCAGCCCTGATAAATGGGGATCTTGTTCTCCCCCAAACTCTGATTGATGTAGCTTTCTATTTGTAAACCTTGAAGATTGGCCACCATGTTTGTTTCAGAAGTTGGCCTGGTAATCCATTAGGGTGATTAAGCATTTATTTGTGTGAAATCAGCCTTCGTCCAATGACATGGTCAATCAAGATATTGTTTAAGCTTTGGTCAGTCTGACTGTACACCAGCACCCAAATTTCTTTTCATGTTACTATTCAGTGTGGATTTTGGGGACACCTTTTTATACAGTTTGTGTTTAATTTAAGTTTAAAGTTGTTTTAAAGGAAGGAGCCAAATTTAGGGTACTCAGAATTTTGCCCAAACAGTATGTTGAATTGTTGTTCATTATTATGTTCATTATTATTAATACAGAAAATTTTATGATTGTACTTAACTGTAAATCACTCATGCCAGC